ACACACATTTGTCCTTTGTTTCAAATGCAACACAATGGATGGAAATTGCCTTCCTAGTACTGGGGTATGGATGCAAACACCAACAGAGAAGCAGCCACTACTTCCAAACTGAACACATGTGAGATTTGCCCTTTAATTAGCATCTGCAGCTGCTGCCATCAGAAGGGTCTGTCTCTGTTGGCCTGAAAGTCTTTGCTTTAAAAGAGCAAGTCCATTATAGCTCCAAGCTAGGCTCGTCTGTCAGCTGCTGTGCTTTCTCTGCCATCAGCGGGGTTGCCACATTGTTTTGGGCTGTTTCACTCTAGGACTCTTTCCTCCTCCTGTGCCCGCAGCCTCTGATTACTATGCCTTGGTGATCATCATTTGGGTGACCTGCAGCTGCTCATTGTGTGTGCAGGAGACATCTCCAGTCCTTGCAAGGAGGGAAGATCATTGGCTTCAGTGCTGATGGACTGGTTATTTTCCAGCTCTTTGTTGTCAGTGATCTTGTCTTGATATGCAGAAAGGCTCCAGGTAGTCACTGAAAAAAATATAAGCAGCAGAGGTGATGGCTATATGAAAGCCATGTTTCATCAAGGGCATTGCTGCTATAGAAACTTTTAATTCACTTGGAGAAGGGAGCCATATTTGTTCCACAGCCTCCTCAGCAGTGGGTCACACGGTGCTGGGCTGGCTGCATCTGAATCACCCCAGTAGCTCCTTAAAACTGTAGATTCCCATCCATGGAGTGTGATCCATGAAGTCTGGGGTTATTCCCTGGAATCCTTTAAGCTCCCTAAGTAGTTGGGATGGGAAAGAGATACGCTTTGCCTTACTATACTGCTTATTATTATCATTTTAAAATTTTTGCCGGGCACAGTGGCTCACACCTGTAATTCCAGCACATTGGGAGACCGAGGTGGGTGGATCACTTGAGGTCAGGAGTTCGAGTCCAGCCTGGCCAACATGATGAAATCCCATCTCTTCTAAAAATACAAAAATTAGCCGGGCATGGTGGCGCGTGCCTGTAGTCCTACTCTGGAGGCTGAGGCAGGAGAATTGCTTGAACCCGAGAGGCAGAGGTTGCAGTGAGCCGAGAGCGTAGCACTGCACTCCAGCCTGGGCAACAGAGCGAGACTTCATCTCAAAAAAAGAAAAAAAAAAAAGAAAAAAAAAGAAAAAACAGAACTCTTTTTCATTATACCAGAACGTCAGCTGTATGGAGGTGGAGATTTTTTCTGTTTTATTCACTGCTGTTTCCCTAGTATCTAGAATAGTGGCTGGCACATGATAGGCACTCAAATATTGATTTAGATGAGTCTATCTTATTTTCTTTTAAATTTTTTGTTTTTATTAGAGGTGGGGTCTCGCTTTATTGCCCAGCCTGGTCTCAAAACTCCTGACCTCAAGTGATTCTACTGCCTCAGTCTCCCAAAGGGCTAGGATAGGCATGAGCCATCATGCCTGGCTTGTCCTATTTTTAAGAAACACTTCTCCTGGTGATTCTGATGGACAATCAGGCTTGGGAAGTTCTAACCTAGAGGACCTATAGTTGTCTTGGGGTAGAAGCCAAGGCTATCCTGGTTTTGAGGATCAGTGCCTTACTGAGCATCTCTGAATAGTAAAAGTCAGGGACAGAGTTACATTTTTGGACAAAACCAGATGCTGTGAATGGACTCTCGGTCACAACCTGGGTGGCGACTTTGTCCTTAACTTCTTCATCATTTTCTGCTGACCTTGGTCTTTGGTTCACAGCAAGTCACCTGGTAAGAAGAATTGAAGACACCTAGTTTGTTACTTTAGATGATGCTTTTGGAACCTCTTGGTACCATTTTAACAATCCAAATGTATTTTCTGAAAGCACTGAAGTCCTGGGTCTGTATTGTATCTTTAAGCTCTAACAGCATGATGATTGAATAAGCCTTGGTTGGCCACACACAAGCCATCTTCCCCGTGGGCTCCATTCATACTAGAATGAGCAGCTATACCCAGTAGTATAGTTTTGGGATATGGGTAACATCTTGGGATAGCCACATTGACTCAGTAAATGTCTGAACTACATTCTTCTAATGGTGCACTGTTGGAATTTTTGGTGTGGTAACCTGGAATGGTGGGTCAAGTTTGATTAGCATCTTTGATAAAGACCCGGTCTATTTAGAGGTTTGTCATTGAGTGTGTCTGTTTTGGCCTCATGTTGTGATGCATGCTGTGTAGCAGCTGTGGTAATTTTTGTTGCTTGTTTTCTCAATCAACCCTGGTTTTGAAGAAATGGAAAGTTGTTCCACTCTTAGACTGATCTGATTTGGGAGGGGATTTTCAGTCAGGAAGCTGGATCTTCTGAATAGAAGCAAAGAATACATGTCTTTCTGCCTCTTTACGAGCTGGCTCTTGTTTTCTGAACTATTTTACTGGTCACTGCAAATAGAATGTCAGGAGTAGCTGCCAAATACTAAGTTGTGTTCAGTTTGTCAGTTCTTAAGAATTGCCGGTGGCTGCTCTGCTATGCATATGACTTTCTCAGCCTTAAACTCACAAGCCATACTGTTTTTTTCACATCTTTAATACAGCCATAGGAAATTTATAACTGTGGTGTGTCGTCATAAATATGCATTGTTGTTATTTTAAGACATTTCAGTACTAAAAGTATAAGTACTTCTGTTATTATCTGTGAATTTCTTTCCTTTTTCTTTTTTTGGATATTTAAGACCTTTTTAATGGCAATATATATTTAAAACAGACATATAAATTAGCATTCACCCACATACCCAGGGCCTGTGGAGAACCAGGTTGGGATGAGTGGGTGAGCTAAAGGCAGCCAGGTGGCTCCCGTGGGCTCCTCGAGGACTGGGGTGAGTAACTAATGTCTGCTAGGAACTTGGGGGAAAGAAAGTGCGTATGTGAGGTGCTGCCCCTTCTAAGTGTTCCTCTTGTTCATAAATCATATATATATATATATATATATATATTTTTTTTTTTTTTTTTTGAGACGGAGTCTCGCTCTGTCGGTGATCTCAGCTCACTGCAACCTCCGCCTCCCGGGTTCAAGCGACTCTCTTGCCTCAGCCTCCCGAGTAGCTGGGACTACAGGCATGCACCACCATGCCCAGCTAATTTTTGTATTTTTGGTAAAGATGAGGTTTCACCATGTTGGCCAGGGTGGTCTCGATCTCTTGACCTCGTAATCTGCCTGCCTCGGCCTCCCAAAGTGCTGGGATTACAGGCATGAGCCACTGTGCCCAGTCCATAAATCAAAATTTTTTCAGCAATTGTTGTGCAAATGGAACCTTACTCTTCAAATGCAATTGTCCGGTGTCTGGCTTAATGTCTGCTGTTGTCAGAAACCATGTGAATGGAGTAGACTCCCAGGTTATAAGGAGCCCTTGGGGAGGATGCGCGAGTCACTGGCTTCTCCAGGGGTCTCTGGTTTGGGGTTGCCTTGGTGCTGGGCACACTTGCTGGAGATTTTACCGGACCAGCCTGAGGCCTTTGGGGCTCTGTGCAGATGCTCTACTTCTGACTTGTCTAGAGCTTTCTTCTAATTCTGGACTAAAAGCAAGCAGGAGTTTGGAGGATGATGGTGAGAATTCACATCCCCGAGTTGGCTTTTGGAATGCAGTAGTTTGTGAGATTTAGTGTTTTTTTAAGAAGTATATTCAGATCTTGCCTTTTCCCAGAAAGCATATGAGACAACTTCCAAGACATTTATAGCATGGCTAATAAAATGGGAAATCAGGGCGAAGGACAGGAGAACTCAATAAGGGTTAACATGGCTACGGCGATTGTCTCAACGGGTTCTTTTTGCTGGACAGAGCAGAAAGGATCATGCAGTAAAGTAGTGGGGAAGGATGGGAATTGAATGGTAGGTGAAAACTTCATGTTGGTGCCAGGCACTGTGCCAGGCCCTCAGAGGACCTTGTCTTACTTAATCCTCACACAGTGCTGCAAGGGGATTAGTCTTTTCCCTGTTTTGGAGAGGATGAAACTGAAAGGCAGAGAGGTGAAGTCACCAGCAGGAGGCTGAAGCCACCCAGGCTAACTGGCCTTATAGCCACCTGGGGACTCAGGAATATCACAACTGTTTATCATCAAAAGGAGAAAGGATTTCAGTTCCTTGGGGTAGAGGAGTTTCTTTTTGCTAATCAAACATTTTACTTGAGGCTTAATATTCTTCTTCAAGATTTTTTTCCTGTGTATGTACAAACACATGTAATAATTCCTTATTTATTACAAAAAAGGGGTTGTACTTTATTCTTTACAGGATTTCACTTTATATTGTCATGGACAATTTTCCATGGCAGTATGAATAAATGGAATCCATTTGTTTTTAATATCTTCGTCTTATCCCATTGTTTACATATGTCATATTTTAGCCTGTCTTTGATGGATAGCTGAATGATTTCCATGGCTTTTTCTCCTGTTACAAACAATACTGCAAAGAATCTATTTATCTTTCTATTTATCTGCAAACTATTGTAAGTACCTGTAAAGTAAATTCTTAGAAGTGGAATTACTAGGTCAAAGGGGATATTTTCACATTTAAATTTTGAATAGAGGCTGTCAGTTGCCTTCCACACTGACTATAAAAGGAAAAGATTGTATCACATTTATTGCAAGCCTTCTGAATTCTGCTGGGTGCTGAGGGGAATACAGAAAGGATATAAGAGAGTGGTTGCCCTCTAGGAATATCCGTCTACACTGTACCTAATCCTAGGGAATGTCTGGGGTGTCAACTTGTGGGTGGGGAAGTGGGTGGATTTAATTCAACTTTTCAAGCTTGCCTTGCAAACACTGTGCATGGTGTCTGGGACTAGTCTTTCATTATATTGATTCCCCTGAGTAACAGATGTAATTTTCTTAGGGCAGGGACTTCATCCTATGTGACTTACAGTGTGCCTTACACATCTTCTTTGTTTTGTGGAGACCTTGTTATTGTAACATGTCAGGTGATATTTGAGGATCTAATTGAGGCATTCCCTATTTTTGGGTGTGTGAATAATTAATAACTTTGGCATTCTATACAGGTCATGGAATATCAGCCTGGAGGGGACTTGCTGTCACTTTTGAATAGATATGAGGACCAGTTAGATGAAAACCTGATTCAGTTTTACCTAGCTGAACTGATTTTGGCTGTTCACAGTGTTCATCAGATGGGATATGTGCATCGGTAAGTGAGACTCTGGTAGCATTTTTATGCTGAGGATTTTTCTGTGTTGCATAAGAGTTCCTGCATGGAAATGAGTGGATGAATGATTTCAGGATCAAGATAACGCTCCATCCAATTTTTAGCCAGTCTACCAATAACTGGCTGAAAGCAGACTTTCCAAAAGGGAGGACATTTCAGCTTGCCCATCCAGCAGTGCAATAGATCTAGAATTGTAACGTGCTCAGGTTTGCTAGTAAGATCTGGTAATGTAGCTAAGTAAGACTGGGAACTCTTGCATGGGTTATTTGGATTATATGATAGAAGAACTGAATTTGGTTTGCAGAAGGAAATGTCATACCACACAGTAGTGTAAGACCATGGAGCTGTACTTCTGTAACTCTGCACGTTAGAATTTACAAAGATTTTTTTTTTTTTTTTGAGATGGAGTCTAACTCTCTTACCAGGCTGGAGTGCAATGGTGCCATCTCGGCTCACTGCAACCTCTGCCTCCTGGGTTCAAGTGATTCTTCTGTGTCAGCCTCCCAAGTAGCTGGGATTACAGGCACGCGTCGCCACACCCAGCTAATTTTTGTATTTTTAGTAGAGACAGCGTTTCACCATGTTGGTCAGGATGGTCTCAATCACCTGACCTCGTGATCCTCCCACCTCGGCCTCCCAAAGTGCTGGGATTAGAGGCATGAGCCACCGCGCCTGGTTTACAGAATCTTCAGTTGATAAGTAGTTCTTCATGTCTTCACTCATCTGTTGTTTTGTGTACATCTGAGAATGTTGTGGGAATACAACGATTGTTAGGCCAGGAATCACAAAATCTGAGATAGAGTCTCAGCTTTTCCATTGGCTAGCTACATAACCTTGGGAAAATTTCATAGCTCCTTTTGGCCTTAGTTTTCCTAATGTAAAATGTGTGTCTCTAGGAGAAATAATCCATTGAATAATATGTGTTTCATTTCTCTTTTCTTTCCCTCCTATTCTTCCTCTCCCTCTCCCTCCCTCCCTCCCTCTCTCTCTCCTTGCCTTTTGGTTAACTTTGTTTTGCAAAATGTATGCTAATCGTTTATATCCATCAATAGAGGAGGTCTGTATAGCAGAATACATAAACAAAGATTTTTGGCTCAATTGAAATTCTAGTTTAGCAGTTGCTTGCTGATTGGGATGGAGGAGGCAATTCATGGTCCTGATTTTCTTACAGAGACATCAAGCCCGAGAACATTCTCATTGACCGCACAGGACACATCAAGCTGGTGGATTTTGGATCTGCTGCAAAAATGAATTCAAACAAGATGGTAACAAAATGGAATAAGATAGCTTAATAGAGTTAATACTAAAAAGTATTCTTGGTCCTCCTAAGTTTGGGAAGTGTTGGGATAAAATGGTGAACAACGTTCACCTTTGGCAGTGTATGGGGGTCGGGAGGGGACACAGAACTATTTCCCAGATGGTGGCACCTTTTCATTTATAGTGCCTGTTAATACCCTACAGGACATTTTTAGGAGCATTCTTATAGTTTGGTTAGAAATAAAGGAAAAAGCTTATTTTGTTTCTCTCTTCATTTTCCTTGCCTATTACAGACTGTCTTCTGTTATGTTATCTTTTTTACTTTAAAATATTTCGATGAAACGGAAACTCCTGTATGTCAAATCCTCTATTTCCTATGCAGCAAAATTGAAATTAATCACTGGAGCATTTGAACCAAATATCCTTAAGTGTTAAGAACCAAGTGCTCAAAATGTCGTTCTTAAGTCTTGGATCTTTGGTAGAAATTGCACTCTATTCCACATGCTAAGTAGGACGGCAGGAGGGTAGCTACTGAGATCAAGAGCGAGAATACTTTAGGAAAAAGATGACAAAGTAAAAAAAGATTAGAGTTTAAAAATCGTCTAATAAAGTTGGTATGTACTAAAATATGAATTTTGAAGTCAACTCTGCAAAAAAGGGTATGTCTGAGAGAAAATCGACTTAGGTTTTAAGACTGATTTTACAACTGAACCACTTGGTGACCTAGACAAATCCTTGGGAACTTGATCTTTTATGCTTTCTCTACAAAAAACTGATGCTAGTTAAAATGCACAATTTAAGAGGTTAGAGAAGCTGCTCTTCAAAACGCCCCTCAAGTCTGAGAGTTAAATCCTTTATATAAAGGACAATATGTAAAATTTTCTTTTTTTCTTAAACTGCTTTCAGAAAGGTGGGTATTGTTAGGCTGATGTTAAGAAAAGGCTTGGAGTTGCGTGAACTTTTTGCTCTCTAGCATGTGGCCTGTGTGTTCTGCAGACCTGAGACCTACCTGAGAGAATTTTCTTGGTGTTCAGGCCCTTGGAAAAATAAGTTCCCCATGTTGTCCAGTGTCAGAGTTTCTCAACCTCAGCACTATTCTTTATTTCAGGTTATTTTCTTGTAATCTGTTCACTTGATCATTACATTAAAAATTAGATTATATTGCTATAACTATAAAGCATTTTATGTTTTAAAAATTATGTACAATTTAGAAACAGGCATGAAAACTTAGGTATTAATCTTAGTGGAATAAAGCACAGAAAAAAAGTTAAAATAATGCAAAGTTTTATCACTTAGGATTAAAAAATTTATATGGGCCGGTAGAGTGCCTCACACCTGTAATCCCAGCACGTTGGGAGGTCGAGGCGGGAGGATTACTTGAGTTTGAGAACAGCCTGGGCAACGAAATGAGACCTAGTCTCTACAAAAAATAAAAAAATTAGCCAGACGTGGTGGTACATGCTTGTGGCCCCAGCCACATGGGAGGCCAAGACAGAAGGATCGCTGGAGCCCACGAGGTTGAGGCTGCAAGGAGCCATGTTTGCACCACTGCATTCCAGCGTGGGTGACAGAACCAAGACCCTGTCTTAAAACAAATTTATATGCTGCATTCGTGAAATTAAAAAAAATCATGAATTTAGAAATAAATTGAAGCATAGGTACATTGACGATGTAACCTCAGCACTACTGACATTTTGATCTGAATAATTTTTTGTTGTGGGGCCTGCCCTGTATAAGATATTTAGCTGCATCCCTGACCCCTTCCTCCTAGATGCCATTAGCACCCTCCCCTCCAGTTGAGATAACCAAAAATGTCTCTAGACATTGCCAGATGTGCCTGGGATGGGATGATTGGGGGAAGTGGGATTTGAGAACCCTTAGTTGATCATGCCTGCAGTAGGTTGAGAAGCATCAGAAAGCTAATTAATTAGACAGGAATATGCGTTTGCAGTAAGAAAACCTGCTCAGAAAACTAATCAAGATCCAAAGTTACTGCTTGGTAAATAAAGAGGAATTAAGAATAAGACCCTATCTCTGTATCTGAGGTCATTCTCTTCAGAGCTTTTGATGGAGAGACAGGGTTCCCAGTTTCTATTTTTCAGTGCTTCAAACCGCCCTTTTCAGTTATAATTGTAACAACCTTCACTCCAGGTGAGGAGCCTCCTGGGTTTATTTGCAACAAAGGCTCAATCTCTGATTGTTTTGGTCAAGGAGATATGACACTCAATACCACACACTTGAGAATATTGCCTCTCTTTTTTCCCTTGTGCTTTTAGGGTTGGAAGGTGACAAGCAGATAAAAAGGAATTTTTTGCATTAAGTACAAAGTCCCTTTTGTTATAGAAGAGCAATAATCTGCACACTAGATCAAGTCAAGTGTGGATATAAAATTATGATTTTTGGGGGGATATTTTTAATAGTGGTATTGGGTTAAACATATTTCCTTTGAATGAAATGTCTGTAGGCCTAAAGTAGGTTCTAAATGTTACCTGTACTCATAGTATACCATATAAAATATAATCCACATTTACTGAAACTATCATATATTACTTACCCCAAATCAATCAGTCCCTTGCCTATTACCCCCACATATTATCTTTGTATTTTGGATACCTGTGAATCTTAGATCTGTTCGGTTTTCCATTATCCATTGTCTTATTTCAAGCTTCTCATTCAGAACGTTGCTTTGGAGTATTTTCTGTTAGTAAACACAGGGCCTAGTGACTGTAGGACCTGCTGTGTGACTTAGGTCACCCACTTCTCTTTATTAGAATCTCAAAGAATGGTGAACAGCTGAGTTCCAATCTATCTCATTTGGCTATCATGAAAATGGTCGTAAGGAGATTGTAGATAAACCACATTATATAGCATGGTAAGTGATAACCCCATTTAGCAGTTGCAACCCCAGAAGAGATAGCCCTTTTTAGATTTATGTGGGAGTCAAAAGCTTTATTTTCCATAAGAGGAACAATGTAGTGAGAACTCCTTTTCCCCCTGCTTCTGCAGGTATACACTTATGCCCTAGGCAGCTTGATGGGTAAAGCTGGGTTTAAATAGTTTTATGTTTAAGCATTTCTTTTTTTTTTTTTTTTTCTTTTTCGAGACAGAGTCTTGCTCTGTCCCCCAGGCTGGAGTGCAGTGGGCGATCTTGGCTCACTGCAACCTCCGCCTCCTGGGTTCAAGCGATGCTCCTGCCTCAGCTCCCCAGGTAGCTGGGATTACAGGTGCCTGCCACCATGCCCGGCTAATTTTTGTATTTTTAGTAGAGATGGGGTTTCACCATGTTGAATGAAGCATTTTATGGAAAGGAGTTAGGAGGAGAAAGACACTGGTTTTCTTTCATCCTCATCTGCTTTTTGTTAGTAAAAGAATCTGCTAAGTTCACTCTTTTCTTTCTCCTTCCCTCTCTCCCTCTTTCAGTTCTCCCCCGCTTTCCTTCCTTCCTTCCTTTCTTCTCCTTCTCCCCCTTTCTCCCAAAATATGGCAGACTCTTCTGTTCCCTAGTCATTCTCATATAGTCTTCTGAACTTGTTTATTTTCTTCCCTGTCAATACAGTAAAAATTAACTAAGTTGGCCAGGCACGGTGGCTCATGCCTGTAATCCCAGCGCTTTGGGAGGCTGAGGCGAGCGGATCACCTGAGGTCAGGAGTTTAAGACCAGCCTGGCCAATGTGGTGAAACCCTGTCTCTACTAAAAAAAAAAAATACAAAAATTAGCTGGGTGTGCGTGCCTGTAGTCCCAGCTATTCAACAGGCTGAGTCAGGACAATTGCTTGAATCCGGGGGGTGGAGGTTGCAGTATGCTGAGATTGCACTTGCACTTCAGCCTGGGTGACAGAGCAACACTCTGTCTAAAAAAAAATTAACTAAGTTAAGTAGTACCTGGGCCCTATCAGATCGTGTCCTCCTGCAGGCAGGCTGGGCCCCTACTATAGGTTCACTTTTAACATCTCACTCGGATTAACTGGCTGAATTGCTACCAGAGGAGAGTGAAAGCATATTGCAAAATCATAATCAGGACATGTGAGATTACATGTTGAACAGGTTTAATGTGCTTGGGGGTCAGTGACTAATGGGAACTTAGCAGTCATTAACTGTCATTACAGCCTTTGTTAATTACTATTACACACTTAGAGATTTGTTAATTAACAAAGAGTAATGCCTTTGCTAATCACTATTATGCACTTAAAGAGTAAGCCAGTGGGTATTTTTCCCTTTATAGCTTTCTAGTACAAATTAATAAAATGTAGAAAATTAGAAAATGATTGTGCATAAATGTGTATAATCATGTATCTGTTAGGGGGCAAAAATTCGTTGGGGAATTATCTTTCTTTGATAAGTCTCATCATTAGTTTGAAGATGAGGCATTGGCAATTCATACTGTTTGGCTGGGTCATCCTGAGAAACGTGCCCCAGTCAATTCTGTTTTTGCAATTCTTTGGTTGTGAACAAATGACTGTGCCCTGTGAGCTGCAAATAAGGAGAACTGAATATTCCTGAACAGCCTGTGGCAATAAAACAAAATCCAATAAATGCAAATGGTATGTATTGGACAATTGTGTAGTTAGGTCCTGCAAGGTCATTAGACATAAAGGATAAGTATTTAATCAACAATATAGTAGCATTTTCATTACCTAGTCAAATCAAGATGTTATAGTTTTCCTTCTCTTGTTTTGTTATTTAAAAAGTATCTATTGCGGCCAGGCTCCATGGCTCACACCTGTAGTCCCAGCACTTTGGGAGGCCGAGATGGCTGGATCACGAGGTCAAGAGATCGAGACCATCCTGGTCAAACATGGTGAAACCCCATCTCTACTAAAAATACAAAAATTATCTGGGTATGGTGGCACGCACCTGTAGTCCCAGCTACTTGAGAGGCTGAGGCAAGAGAATTGCTTGAACCTGGGAGGCGGAGGTTGCAGTGAGCTGAGATCACGCCATTGCACTCCAGCCTGGCGACAGAGAGAGACTCCATTTCAAAAAAAAAAAAACAACAAAAAAACCCAAAAACTATTGCTTATTGTCAGTGCATTTTAACCAAAATCCTTTAGTTTAATCCTAATCCTGTGCTGAGCTGTTTAGCATTTACATACATATTAAAGAAACAATATCAGCCCAGATTTCCCAACATATTAAGGCTTCTCCTTGACTTAACCTATTTTCAGTTCTTCAAGCTTAAGTCACCCTGTGGTTTTGTCTTAGACCAAATATTTTCCCCTTTGTCTCCCCTTCTGTTCATCAAGCCAAACCTGCTTGTAGGTTTCTTGGATGGTGTGACCATCTGGCTTTCTTGAAGGGGCATTTATAGTGGAAGTTTTATTGCCCAAAGCAGTGGACAGTCCATGTCAGGAATGGTCGTATCACACTGCTGTCTGAGTTTAGGGCTTGGAAAAACCTATATCAGAATGTGGGCCCGAGGGAAGGGGTGAAAAGAGAGGAGAGGGAAGAATAGGTCTGTTTCATATAATGAGAAAGTCTCATGGTTGAGGAATGGACGAGATTCAAGTTACAGGCTGGAAGAGCTTCATCCAGAATCAGCCCTGGGGAGAGGAGACCTCATCATGTCCTCACTAAACATTCACTTTCCTCTCCACACCCGGTTAAAGCAAAGCAAATTTACTTTCTTGGTGTAAAGCCCAGCCTTCGAGGTATGTGGCCTTACCCACAAAATCTCTTGGCTCACTCAGGGGCACTTACTATCGTTTAATGAGGAAAGAGTTCTTTTGCACCATATATACTGCTGACCTGAGAGAAGCCCATTATGATATAGAGTTATAGGACAGCTGGTCAACATACTATATAACTAAAATCAGGACCTCTCTGTTTTGATGGGGAGAAAAGTTAGAGAAAGAATCTCTAGACTTCAAATTTCATGGCTCAGTAAAACGTCAAAATAATTTTGAAGACCAAAGGGGTTGCCAGCTTACTAAGCTGCGTAGACAGGGGTGGGTATGAGGGGAAGAAAATCTACTACTTTCATCAACAGCATATCAAGAAACAAAGGACATTTAAACACTAAAAAAGTCAGAAGGACAAAGTCTCAGAAAAAAAGGTCGGTCCTTTAAATGGATTACATTTAGCTTTATAAAATGCCCTCCTGTATTGTCCTAACCTTTCTTTGCCAAGGTCAAGTGCTTGGGTGTCATTGAATTATAAGCCCCTGGGTTCTGAACAGTGGGGGAGGGAATCATAGGAACAAGCGTTAGGGATGAGGAAAAGGAACTCATTAACCTTGGGCCCTGGGTGGAAGTTAATTATCATGTCTTGCCCTGTGGGTGGGTTGAAGTAGGAACATTAATTCCAAAGGCAGTTTTCCAAATTTTTGAACTTGAGATTTGTAATATTATATTGCCAGTTAGCCACCAGTTTTGTTTTGTTTTCTTTTCTTTAACAGTCTCACCCAGTTGTCACCCAGGCTGGAGTGCAATGGCTCAATCTTGGCTCACTGCAACCTCCGCCTCCTGGGTTCAAGCGATTCTTGTGCCTTAGCCTCCCGAGTAGCTGGGAACCACAGGTTTGCACCGCCACGCCTGGCTAATTTTTGTATTTTTAGTAGAGATGGAGCTTCACCATGTTGGCCATGTTGGTCTCGACCTCCTGGCCTCAAATGATCCACCCACCTTGGCCTCCCAAAGTGCTGGGATTACAGGCATGGGCCACTGCACCTGGCCAACCACCAGTTTTCTAGTAACGGTTAGGTTGATCTTTTAGATTCATTTTTAGAGTTTATTATCATTTTGCTGTTATCATAAGAGAAGTTCTATTATATCAAAAACTTGTATTAGAAAAGACATCTTCCATTCCCGGTACATATCCAACTCTCATTCGTATCACCAAAGGGTGTATGTGTATCATCCACAACTCTTGCCCTTTTGCCCTTGGATTGCATTATATGCTTTTTTTTTTTTTTTAAATTAGTAAAGCATTTGCATTTCCTGACAATGTGCCACTTGACAGCAGGTTTCAGTGCCTGGGAGAATAGTAATCAGTGGCAAATCAGCTTGTGTCTGAAATGTGGCTGTTGGCAGTGTACTTGAGGATAATTGAAAGTTTGCTGTATTCGTTTTATTGATGGGATTCTAGGTGAATGCCAGACTCCCAATTGGGACCCCGGATTACATGGCTCCTGAAGTGCTGACTGTGATGAATGCGGACGGAAAAGGCACCTACGGCCTGGACTGTGACTGGTGGTCAGTGGGCGTGATTGCCTATGAGATGATTTATGGGAGATCCCCCTTCGCAGAGGGAACCTCTGCCAGAACCTTCAATAACATCATGAATTTCCAGGTAAAGAGTCCTTAGAAGATTTCGAGGTCATATTGAGAGACGTTATTTAAAAATTGTGCAAATGAGGCTGGGCGCGGTGGCTCACACCTGTAATCCCAGCACTTTGGGAGGCCGAGGCGGGTGGATCACAATGTCAGGAGATGGAGACCATCATGGCTAACATGGTGAAACCCTGTCTCTACTAAAAAAAAATACAAAAAATTAGCTGGGCGTGGTGGCGGGTGCCTGTAGTCCCAGCTACTCGGGAGGCTGAGGCAGGAGAATGGTGTGAACCCGGGAGGCAGAGCTTGTAGTGAGCCAGGATCGCACCACTGCACTCCAGCCTGGGCAACAGTGAGACTCCACAAAAAAAAAAAAAAAAAAAAATTGTGTGAGTGAATGTTTATAGAATGTTGTTTAAAAATTGTGTGTGTGAATATTTTATAGGTATCGTGTGAATTAATGTTTATAGAATGTTAGATGTTATTTAAAAATTGTGTGAATGAGGGTTTCAGCAGTGCTAGAAAATAATAATAGCAAATACTTATAGAGCACTTAACTGTGCCAAAGGCTATTCTAAGCATTTTATTAATTGTATTTCACGGAATCTCAGCTGCCAGTAATGATAAGACTACACCATTATTTTATGTACTGCTAAGAAAGAAAAACTGCTGCCAGTGAGTCTATGATACTTTTATTGATTATAAAATACATCTTGATTTCAGTGCTGTTAACTGTGAATAACTGTGAGTCTTAGAATTGAGGAGATATAGTTTTAGTTAGTTAGTTAATCTTCAAGCAACCCTGTGAGGTAAGTATTATTATTTTCATTTATAGATGAGGAAACCAAAGCACTGAAGGTAAAGTAACTTGCCCAAAATAACATAGGCAGTCTGGCTCTGAAGTCCATGCTCTTGATTTTTCGATACACTCCTTCTTAGTACTAACTATTGAATATGGTATTAAAATTGAGGAAATGAATTAGAAATACAATTATATATAGATATGTGTTTTACTCTGTGTATGTATATATATACATATATAGTAAAACTATTTTCTAATAACTGTACTTTCTACTACATTAAGCCTATTTATTTATTTATTTTTTTGAGATGGAGTCTCGCTCTGTTACCCAGGCTGGAGTACAGTGGCACAATATCAGCTCACTGCAGTTCCTGCCTCCTGGGTTCAAGCGATTCTCCTGCCTCAGACTCCTGAGTAGCTGGGATCACAGGTGCCCACCACCATGCCTGGCTAATTTTTGTATTTTTAGTAGAGATGGGGTTTCACCATGTTGGCTAGGCTGGTCTTGAACTCTTGACCTCAGGTGATCCGCCTGCCTTGGCCTCCCAAAGTATTGGGATTACAGGCATGAGCCACTGTGCCCAGCTCATGAAGCTCATTTCTTAAGGCTCTGATAAATGTGTATTTTTTAGTTTCAACTAAAAGGAAAAGGAACGTATTTCCTAGGTTTTTGTATCTCACCCAGTTTTCATCTTTTGGGAACGCTTAATACATATTTTTATGTAAATACATTATTAGTTATTCTTGTGCCTCCTCTTGAGTGAAAATTTCCCCTTAGATGACTCTTGGAGCTAATTTATTTCCTTCCCTTTAGCTCACTCACTCATTCAATCATTCAATAACGAGTGCATTATCATACCATGCACTGTTAGGTACCACGTTTATAGGGATGAGCAGAAGAAGCAGGCCCTCTTTGCCTTCTTTATTTTTCATCACACTGAAATCACAGCACAATATGTAGGTGCAAAAGTAGAGTGCAGAGGGAACATGCAGAAAGGAGTTATAGGATAGAAAAGGTAGCCAAGGAAAGCAGCGAGAACAGCGTGATTTGTTCAGGGAGCTTTAAATAGCTCATCATTGTTGGACAGCAAAGAGAGAGATGGGGAGCGTGGCGAGATGAGATGGGAAGGGGAGCCGGGGTCAAGCCATGGAGGATGCTGAACCCCTACAAAGGAACTAAGCCTATTGATGTGAACAGGCCACTTATTTTGGGAACAGGCCTTTGGTCCAGAGGGAAGAGGGCACAAAACTTCCTTCTCTAAAAAACAACAACAAAGAAAGAAACTTGCATATATGAGAAATACTTTCTTCACTTTGAGGCATGAGAAATGGAATCCCTGCTAAGGAAATTCTTTTGTTTTTTTGGAACAGCGGTTTTTGAAGTTTCCAGATGACCCCAAAGTGAGCAGTGACTTTCTTGATCTGATTCAAAGTTTGTTGTGTGGCCAGAAAGAGAGACTGAAGTTTGAAGGTCTCTGCTGCCATCCTTTCTTCTCTAAAATCGACTGGAATAACATTCGTAACTGTAAGTAGGGCTATTTTCCTTAATTTGGGATGTTGGAATTATGAAACACTCAAGAGAGATCTGAGATTATTCTGGCCCAAAGAAGCTTCGGTAAATTATATAAATAAAGGCTGTAATTATCTACACGAGTAGTAAAGGCTAATGATATAGCCGTCTTTGAGTAATAATTCTGCTTTAAAATTGTTTATGTAGAACTGGGTCATTTATCAAACTCCGTGTTTATGTGGCCTTTAGAATATTATCCCTCAGTAAGTTAGAGGCACAGATTAATGGAGTTTGAAGGTTATCACTTGGTTTGACACAATTTCTTCCAAAAAAGTGGATATAGATATTTCATTCACATATCAGGAAAAAGACTCAGATTAGGCAACATGCCCAGGTTGTTCTGCTAATGGCTGAGTTTAAACGAAAACCATAAACACCTCCCTGTGTTTATTCATTTGTTTCCCTCGATAATATTTGTCTTTGCTCACAAGCATGTAAAACCTATAATGTATATGCACAGTAGATTCATTCATACATCACTTTTTATAATCAGTTAGTGCACACTGAATGAATTCATTAAAAACAAAGACTGGGTTTATTATCAACAGAAACCACACAATGCTCTTTTTTTCTTTTACCAGTTGGTGATCTTTTAAAAATCTTTTTAATTCTTGGATGTGTTGTTGATTGAATGTCTTCTAATAACTGGACCCAATGATCAACATGGATTAGAGCCAGTAGGAAAGCAGTTTGAGTATGTGTTTTGTTTTTGGTGATGGAGGGAGGTTGGGAAATGGAATCTGTTTCTAGGTGTCAAAACCACGCTTCTGATTGGAGATGTGTTATAATTGCTTGCATCTTCAGCTAGGACATAGTATGGTAAAAATTCAGTATTGTCCAGTTGTAAGCCATTTTGATGATTTCTCTAACCTGCTGAAATATTTAAGTAGGTCGCATTTCCATAAATCTTTCTTGGCAAATGTTTTTATTATTCGGGTTGCCACATTGCTTTATTTTTCTAAATAAATAGACATCTCCCCCCAAATCTCCAAGGTTCAGACCTTTTAATCAGTAATATATTTTCAGGGCATTCTTCCTTTTATGCTTTTGGAAAGATCTGATAGACTTTCTTTTAGATGCTATTCAAGTACTTAATCTTTTCTTGTCTTGCCTTTTTATCTCTGTAATCTTCTTGAATAAGCACTTAATTTTTTTTATTCATGAACTTGCTGATCATGCCTAAGAATATATCTCCACCTAAGTAAGTCAGTGAATGGTGATTACCTGAGTAAAGTTATAGTAGTTCCCCACCCTCCTATCTGTGTTGCATATGTTCCAAGACTCCCAGTGGGTGTGTGAAACTGATGATAGGACTGAAACCCAGTGACACTGTTATGTATAACACTGGGGGCCGGGCGCGGTCACTTAACGCCTGTAATCCCAGCACTTTGGGAGGCCGAGGTAGGCGGATCATCTGAGGCCAGGAGCTCGAGACCAGCCTGGCCAACATGGTGAAACCCTGTCTCTACTGAAAATACAAAAAGTAGCTGGGCATGGTGGCGCATGCCCGTGGTCCCAGCTACTCGGAGGATGTGCATACATATCTGTGTTATATAAAGTTTAACTTATAAATTAGGCATAATGTATTTGACTCCCAGCTCCCAGTGTAGTGACTCTGAAGACTCACAAAATGTATTTTCTTTACAAAAATTTTTTTTTTGAGACGGAGTTTTGCTCTTGCTGCCCAGGCTGGACTGCAGAGGTGCGATCTCAGCTCACTGCAACCTCCGCCTCCCGGTTCAAGTGATTCTCCTGCCTCAGCCTCCCAAGTAGCTGGGACTACAGGCACCGCCACCTCGCCTGGCTAGTTTTTTGTATTTTTGTAGAGATGGGGTTTTACCGTGTTAGCCAGGATGGTCTCGATCTCCTGACCTCGTGATCCGCCCGTCTCGGCCTCCCAAAGTGCTGGGATTACAGGCTTGAGCCACCGCGCCCGGCCATGCCTGGCTAATTTTCTATTTTTAGTAGAGACAGGGTTTCTCCGTGTTGGTCAGGCTGGCCTTGAACTCCTGACCTCAGGTGATCCACCCGCATTGGCCTTCCAAAGTGCTGGGATTACAGGCGTGAGCCACCGCGCTCAGACCCCAATGTTAACTCTTACATAACAGTGTCACTGTCAAACTAAGTGTTTGAAAAACTGTTTGTCAAAACTAATATTGGTACATTACTGCTAACTACACTTGAGACTTTTTTTGGATTTTACCAGTTCTCCCACTCATGTCCCGTTTCTGTTCCAGGAATCAATCCATGGTACCATATTGCAGTTAGGGTATTTATATTTGATGGGACTACTCCTAGTTTAGATACTTAGTGTAGCTCAGTCAGCAGGTGGGATCTTCGTGCCCACTGAGGATTGGTAGTGCGTTTTCCTGGTGGTTTTATGGAGTTTCCGACTATGCAGAGAGGCATGGTATTAACTTCACTGTCTCCTAGCAAATTTTCCTGTTTTTCACCAACCTCTGATCCCTGCGTTATTTGCAATCAACTCAGAGATTTGTGATTGAAAACATTGCTTGACTCCATGCTCTGTAAGCTATTTTCTAACTAGGTAACTGTAACATAAATTATGCTTTTATCTAGTATGGTTTTTCATAAACACATGTGGAGTGATTTTCATCAACCAAAATACTTTGAATCATTAAGTTTCCCAAGTTCATGGTTGCTGCTTAAATGCCTGGTAGTTCCAGGCTGTTGAATATTTCCGCCTTTTGCAATAAGAGATTGTCCCTTGTTAAAAGCAACATTAGCCTTTGTGCGGTTTCACCCCCAATTCTTCTTTTTCTTGTTGTAACCAATGAAAGGAAGTACTGCTTAACACAGCAGGTAATAATCTTCTAAAACTCATTATCTCAAGAGGTGGTCTCAGCAGGATATATAAATATAATTTAAGAAAGGTCTCGGCAAATTTATGAATGACAGAACTGGGAGTGGCTACCAAGAGAAACTAGGATGTGCCTTTGTATTGACACTGAGGTCAGGTGTAGCTTCTGTACCCTCCTGGGTCCTGCCCTTTGGGGTTGCTGCAGGCAGCACCCCATGAACCAGGCATCTGACCCAGTTCCAGGATACTTATTCTTCCAGCAAGTCGAACACTGTGATGAGTGACTGCCACGCTCATGGGTCACCAGGCTCTCATTATTCTGTTTCATTTCCAGCCTCCCACAAGATTGGTTTTTCAGCTGCTTATTTATTATTATCATTATTTCAAGGCTGCTTTCCAAGTTTCAGTGGGGGGTTTCCTAAGCGTACCAGCTGCCCTGGCTGTGCCGTTCCGGCGATGTTTCAGATGCTGGGCCGGATTCTGGCTGTAAACAGCCTGATCTTTCTGGGCTTCAGGAAAGCTGAAGCCAATCAGAACTCCTCTTTCTTCCCTTTGGGATTATGCCTACCTTGCCTGGCATCGTGTACCTGCTCCCATCCATGGGAAAGTTTTGCTATCTTCTGTCAACGTCTTTTAAAATATCTTCCCCTAAGGCATCGCGACGTCAACGGAACCAGCACACTTGTACCTTTTATCCGAGACTGCCATATCTCAACAGTGAGAAACACATAATGCAAGTGGTGATCACAGATTATTTCCTACGACATTTATGGCTAACGTGCTAGAGAACTCAGATGGTCTGTTGCGTCTGACATGGGCTTTTTCTCTTGAGTTGTCTTTCTTTTGCTATTCTCAGAAAGACAGAAATGATCCTGATTTTTCAGGTCTTCAGCATTTGTTAGCAGAAAATACATTTTGTTTCCATCTGGCAGTGACTCAGTGGTGGTCCCATGCTGATGAAACGCTGAGATAGTCTTCTTCCAAATAGGTGTCGTTCTGATTGTTGCTGCTTATTTGCTAACTGGCCCTGAATGGTGCAAATGAAACCTCAAGTGTATAATATGGTTGCTCAGTAATCCTGAGGGAAGACAGTCTTTGGTTTAGGGGAGAGGGATTCTGTGCCTACTTAGCTTCAGGTGAAATTCTTTTTTTTTAATCTATATATATTTTTTATTATACTTTAAGTTCTAGGGTACATGTGCACAATGTGCGGATTTGTTACATATGTATACATGTACCATGTTGGTGTGCTGCACCTATTAACTCGTCATTTACATTAGGTATGTCTCCTAATGCTATCCCTCCCCCCACCCCATGACAGGCCCTGGTGTGTGATATTCCCCTTCCTGTGTCCAAGTGTTCTCATTGTTCAATTCCCACCTATGAGTGAGAACATGCGGTGTTTGGTTTTTGTCCTTGTGATAGTTTGCTGAGAATGATGGTTTCCAGCTTCATCCATGTCCCTACAAAGGACATGAACTCATCCTTTTTTATGGCTGCATAGTATTCCATGGTGTATATGTGCCACATTTTCTTAATCCAGTCTATCATTGTTGGACATTTGGGTTGGTTCCAAGTCTTTGCTATTGTGAATAGTGCCTCAATAAACATATGTGTGCATGTGTCTTTATAGCGGCTTGATTTATAATCCTTTGGGTATATACCCAGTAATGGGATGGCTGGGTCAAATGGTATTTCTAGTCCTAGATCCCTGAGGAATTGCCACACTGTTTTCCACAATAGTTGAACTAGTTTACAGTCCCACCAACAGTGTAAAAGCATTCCTATTTCTTCACATCCTCTCCAGCACCTGTTGTTTCCTGACTTTTTAATGATTGCCATTCTAACTGGTGTGAGATGATATTTCATTGTGGTTTTGAGTTGCATTTCTCTGATGGCAACTGATGATGAGCATTTTTTCATGTGTCTGTTGGCTGCATAAATGCCTTTTTTTTGAGAAGTGTCTGTTCATATCCTTCGCCCACTAAACAATATTGCCGACCATACTAAAGGACTAGAAAAAAAAACCCAAGGAGCTACATGGTGCTTAATTCTACATACAAAAATTTGTAAGAATTTCACCTGAAGCTGTTACAGATTTTTATGTGTGGAATTAAGCACCATGTAGCTCCTT